TTCGCTGCATATTAATCGAGTCGTCCGACTCCCCTTCGGATTCCGCTGACATATATTGCGAAGATCCCGTATGATATCCTTTTGGTATATCTGCAATCGGCTGGATCGTCTGATCCACCGGATCGCGCTCTCCAGTTAGAGGAACTAGCTTCGAAAACAGAGATCGCCCTGCTTGGATCACCCGATCATGATCGCATTCCAACAGCACCTGCGCGTCAAAAGCTCCAGCGGTGAATCCAGCGTTCTGGAGCAACTCCATAAGCCGACGGATCGCTTCCAACTGGTTCGTTGTCGGAATGGGAGCTGAAATTGGTCCTCGCAGCGATCCAATCAACTTCGGTTTCAAAATCTTTAGAACGGGATCGCTTGACAACAGATCTTTAAGCGCCTTCCAATGAAAACACCATTCCAGCTGATCCAGTTGCCATCCTTTCGCCTTGTCTTTCTCATGCGCTGACTTCACGTCGGTATCATCATGATCCGACTCAGGCGCCTTCATCTTCACTCGAGATGGCTTCGAATTCTTCTTCTTCTTCGAATTCGGAGTGGTTTTGGATAAATTTCCTTCGGTTTTAACTGTAGGATTTTTATCCAGCGGATCGCGTTTTGCAACGCGATCCGCAGGGGTCCTCGAAAGGACCTGGGGAGTGGGTAGAGGTTTTTCTTCCAGATCAATCTCTTGATCTTCCTCCTTGGTTTTCTTTTCATCTGCGCCCCTCCCAAAACGCTGATGATCCGGGGATCTTTTTTCTTCACACGTCTGCGGTGATCCCTTTGCCGCTGACGCTTCAATCCCAGGTTCAGTCTTGATCTTGACATCTTCTCTCAGGGACTCACGGTGAAATCCCTGGTTCGAATCCGGGCACGCGCACCATTGTGGTGGAGTGGGATTCGCAAAATTGCTGATGCGATCCCAACTCTCCACTGGCGCCCGGACGACCGACTAACGGAGGGGGTACCCCGATTCCGTGTGTATAGCCTTCCTCACCTTGTGTACCCGTCGGTAGGGCGGGTTGCTCTCTTCTCGGTAGACTTGAGTCGATGTTGGACTTGATTGTGTTAGGGATAGTGGGGGGGGCGATCGCGTGGAATTCCTCACACGATCGCAGTTGTTCTTGGGGTGCTCTATTTGAGTCGCCCTGATCTCCCTTGAGATCGCCTTGTCCAAAAATGTAGATACTTGATCCGCTTGCCTTCTGACCACTTGAGCCGTCTCGTGATCTTGTATCTGGACTTCTTAGTCTTTTGCGTCCAATCGCAGCTTGATTTGTTTTGTTGAATATTCTTGCAATCCCTGGCCAAACAATCCAGGGATATGACTTGCGTAGTAGGTAGACTTCCTTGAGACGTCGGGAGGCCAAAGAATCCAGCCCGGAAGAGAAGTCGACACGTGTACTTAGAAGCAAATTGAACTCTGTTAATGTTAACCAATCAAATACCAAAACCTATGATCTTGACTATCTGTAGCTCAGGATCTGTTGCCACGTATCGCCCTTTCGGAAAATTCAGATCTTGTAATGTGGTCCACTCCAATATCGCCGCGATCTGGATCGCTACCTCACTCGGATATAATACCATTTTAGTACCAGATCACGGTACTAAATAATTAGTATCGGATCGCGGTACTAAATAATTAATACCAGATCGCGGTACTAAATAATTAATACCAGATCGCGGTACTAAATAATTAATACCAGATCGCGGTACTAATAATTAATATCGGATCGCGATACTAAATAATTAATATCGGATCGTGATACTAATAATTAGTACCTGATCGCGGTACTAAATAATTAATATCGGATCGCGGTACTAATAATTAATATCGGATCGCGATACTAATAATTAGCATCGGATCGCGATCCGCCGGATCACGACTTGTCCTCTTCACCGTTTCTCAGGTCATGTGAGATAGTTCATCTATGTGACATGTCATATCCACCATTCCAGTCCTCCATAGCGACGTGATCCACACCAGACCGTCCTCCACATGCTTGGATGTACCCATCTTCCTCCTTAGCGACCGCGTTCACGCGGATCGCCATCGGAAATAAGCTGAAGATCGCAATAGCGTAGTTTCTAGGCCATATTTGACCCCACATAGAAGTGCAAACTACACCATTCACTGTTTTCCATCCTATTTGACATCGTCTTGAAACCTTTCTGCGAGATCGCGACTCATTAATATTGGCCATTTCGGACTTAACCGAAAATATGCGATCACACTTGGCGAAATTCACTCCTTCACTTCGCCACAGTGTAGCATGGTCGCATGAACTTGTCCAGTTCTTAAACGCACCGGTGAATGTCCGGTGCGCATTGAACCACCGCTGGAGACGCTGCGGCTCTTTCGTGGCCGTCGTCGAAGCTGACTGGCGTTGGCGCGATTGGCCCGCCGTCGGACCCAGTCGTTGGGCTCATAACCTATTAAAGCAGATGCGTAGTGCTCACTAGGTGGTTAATTGAATACTAATATATATTTGGTCCTTAGTTCTCCAACAAGTGCTTTATCTAAGCCACTCCTATATTAACTATACCATACTCAGCTGACAGCGCGCCCATAATCAACCGTCATCATGTCCGTAATCATGCGTCTATCCAACAGGCTCTCAGCGGTGCGATAGTGTACCTCACCTTCAACATGTCCATCTTCAACAAACTGTGTGGCAGCTGCAGAGACCGCTGCACTGAGGAGAATCTCTTTGCGATCGTTTAGCCACTAGGGAGGCCCGCGGCGGCGGGCTGAAACGCGTCTGGCACGAGTCCGTAAGTAAAGTCTTTATGTCATGCGTTTTAAGTTTCCAACAAATTTTTCATCGGAAAAAGAGTCGCAAGGTGAGATAGGAGCTCATTATCCGCTCGGTCAACTGAGGCATTGGTGCGCCTGGAAGATTTTTACGGGAAGCAGAGCTTCCTTTTGGTTAAATGATCCTTATATATGGTTCTTAACAAGTCCTGAACACATCATTTGTTTTTGTTGGGAGTCTCAAAGGGTGATCGGAGGGCTCTTGTCAATAAACTAGATGATTCATGAATCATGCATCTAATCATCGCGTGATTTAGATTCATAATTCATGAAATAGATTCATGAATCAGATTTATGAATTATGTATCTGAATAGGAGGCCTAGATTTTGCTATATAGAAAAGGAGCACGAAAAATGTTATTAAAAGCACGACGAAAAATATTTATATAAAGTTTAGCACATTTATACAGATAAGAAGCATATACAGATTTATAATATATACAAAAGAGGATGACGTATATTCTATAGATGTGTTATGGGCAACATACATATAAAGATAGTATGGACAGACGCAACTCTTGTCGTCGTCACAGCCGTAACCTTTTCCCATCCTATGAACCCAAAATTTTTCTTTCATGTGCAAAAACGTATGCTATTGCTTTTATGGTACTGTCAATTAGGCAAACCAGCAAGGCTATCTGCCCAGTCCGTCCAGCTTCGGCCATATATGCAAATATCTGTATACAGCCCCCGTGACTTGATTGTGCGACACATAGTTCACCCTATATGTCGTGAGGTTTTGTGCTACCTATTTTCTCGTCATTTTAAGCTTTCGTCGTATTTTGAAACATGAATTTTATCTTTGTCCTATCCACTGGGGCAGTATTACGGGCTCTGTCGTCTCGTTGTGAGCTCTGTCGCCTCTCTCAACAATTCGTACACTTGGACGACTATGTAGTAAATAAAAAGAACAGGGCATACACAAAAAAGACGATGTTTAGGTTTCCAGTCGTACGGACGTGTGAGCTTCCGTGAAGACCTGCGCAGATGTGTTGGATGGGATGTTCGTGTGACGTTGCTTATGGTCCTTCCCGTTATCTGTCTTATTGAGGTGCTCAAAGTTTTTTCTATTTGCAAGAGGATGCAGCCAGCGGCGTGGCTGTGGACGTCTTAGTTGAGGACGCGCCATCTGCTCACAATTTACAAAGTCACGGTCCATTTAGAATGGACGGACGACCATTATTTTGGTCGCCAACTACCGCGACTGAACGACGGTAAAATGTGTTGTCTTCTTCTATATGAATGGATTACTAATCTTTATATTTATTGAAAAAGATGATGACGTTTTGATTGTAGCAAACCTCTCTAGATTTTAATAATCGATTCAATACGATCAGCTTCTCTAACCTTAGTCATTTGGATTGGATCAAATAAATTGAGATAATTAGTTGTCCATGCACCCGAGTGCTTCGGAGTCTAACGAGTGAGTGAGTGGACCGATTTCTTCAAAAAACAATACGACATTTTATAGCGGTCGATAAGATCGGATTCAAGAACATCTAAATCAATCATGGATCATTCCGTTCACGGTGTTAGCACATACGCCGGAGCCACTCATTGTCATCTGACGAGTGTGAACGTAGCTCGAGTTATTGCGACAGCGACTTCCTAAGATTTGCTGTTGTTTTATCGAGTGCGTTGAGACATTCAGCGAAGAATGGTATGAGATGTGGACAGAACCCTCCCTTTCTGGCCGTCCTATTGAATAGCTGTTCATCTTCCGATTCATGGGATGGGAAAAATAATGATGGCGGTGAGGACAGGGCCTTACGCGAATCCAGCAATCTATTTTGCTGTGCCACAATCTCCATTTGCAAATTTGGCGCTTACTGCACATCCGCACACATCCGCATTCTTCTTAAGCCGAATTTGAGATGAGACTTCCGGTCTCACCTGCTGCAGTGGCCATTGCGGTATTGGGAAAAACATTGCGGTAACATCCGCAAATGACTTTCCCCCCGGCGTTAACTTTGGCAAAGGCATTAATTTCCCGTTGACGGAAGTGGTGCTCGACTATGATGTAAAAATCGATGTTTCGATCCAAGTCGAAGGACTAATCGGTACTTTAACCCTCGACTTGGCGACAACTGTGGATTCTATCCTCAGCTCAGCAACAACTGCGACTTCCATCATCGACCTAGCGACAATTGCGGATACAAGTCAACCCTTGGCGTCCACGCAATCGGCTGGATCTATGTGTGTACCACTGGGCTCGCCCCTCGATGGGTACTTCTCACCCTTTAGCCTTGATGAACCATCCGAGAAACTCTTTAAACGAAACGGTAGCCTCGAAACAATTGCTCCGATCATTAACGTCGCTAAAGAGGCCCTTAATCAACCGATCCCGACAAACAAGTGGTGGGGGAATCTAATTCACGTCAATCCGAAGGACCTCTCCGAAAACTACCCGGTATGGGCTCAGCCGTACGCAATGATACTGAAGAAAGCACGACCGTTTGGTCTGATGGCCTACTACCCCTTCACGTATCGTGAAATTGCACCGAAGGTTGATGGCGTCGTTAAATACTACGAACATGGCATTCACAATGACCTGACGCTCTCAGCGCAAGAGTTCAACGTGACGAAGCCCGTGTACGAAATATATTCCTGGGATGACATAGGCATTAACCTCCGAATTTGTGACCCTAGTACCAAGAAGTGCATGGATTCAGCACTTTTGAGCGGCATGGCTTTTATTTCAGGTAAATATGACGGTCTCACCCCACGCATCGACACGGAACACAACATCACCTCTGTGGACAACTCGACACCAGGTAAATATGTCATCCACCTCAACAACACCCAGAAGTGGGTGCTGTACGCCAGCGAGAGCATCTCGTTCCGCGTGGAGGAGTCGGTGATGTTTTCGGTGGACGAGTCGGGCTCGTCGCTCGTCGCGGACGGAGGGTACCATGGCACGATTCGACTAGCAGTACTTCCAGAGGGCGCCGACGACACAGTTTACGATAAGTACGCACCTTGTTTGGTACGCGGTGGCACTGTTTCGATGGAGTCGCGCACTGCTTACTCGATAAACTGGGATGTTGAAGGGAGCACGTGTGAATCGGTGGGTCTGCTGCACTTTGCACTGCCACATCAAGTAGCCTCACTGACTGGGTCTCCTACGACAGCTAATACCCCTGGTGCTATTGCGCTACACTCGACCACAAGGGGTCTAATGGTTGCTCAAGTGTCGAACAAATGGTGTTTTGTGGAGCCTGTGTCGGAAATCGAGATCGATTTCTGGCCAGCTCGGAGGCCGACGCCCATGGTTGTCGAGGAATTTGACATGCTTCGTACGCTGAAAGACGACATCACCGCTAACTGGTCCATGAATGCTTCGAGCTGGTACTTTAACGGTAAGAATTTCCAAAAGTATGCGTCGTTATGTCTCATGGCTGCTGACAGCTCAGTGGTGGGTCCGGACACGACGTTGCTGACTTTTTGTATGGAGAAGCTAGAGAAGTTGATCAACGGCTCGATCAACACCTCTGAACAACACCTTAATTCCCCCTCTTGTTTACGAAACGTTGTACCGAGGGATTGTGTCCAGAGCAATTTTTGATACTGGTGAGTTGTACGTGGACTTTGGCAATGGAATCTACAATGACCACCACTATCACTACGGATACTACGTGACGTCGGCGGCCATTATGAAGTACTTGAATCCGAACTGGAGTCGAATGCCGGAGCTGGAAGCTCTAGTCTGGTTGATGGTGCGTGACGTAGCCAATCCGAGCCGTTATGATTGTTACTTCCCTCGATTCCGTCATTTCTCCTGGTTTAATGGCCTCTCATATTCACACGGCGTCACACTGTCCAACGAGGGTAAGGACGAGGAAAGTACGTCTGAAGACATTTAACCTTTTACTATGGCATGACTCTATGGGGTAAAGTGACCGGTCACAAGGCAGTGGAGGACCTAGGAAGTCTGATGCTGCGCCTGAATGCGCATGCCATCCGTACGTACGTTCTAATGACTTCGGACAACACCATTCACCCGCCCGAGATCGTGGCGAATCACGTCACTGGTATTTTCTTCGACAACAAGGTCTTTTACAACACGTGGTTCCTCGATAAGGTATACGCGATCCATGTCATCCAGATGATCCCTGTGTGTGTGATCAGCGAGATATATCGCACGCCGACATTTGTGAAACAGGAATGGACCGACATTTTGTCGAAGGATGAGATCGTCACCACGCCGAACAGTAACAACACGTGGTTGTCGTTGTTGTTGGTAAATGCGGCGATATTGGATCCGATGAACTCGCTGCGCAAACTGCAGAATGCGTCCATGGATGATGGTCTGTCTTTGTCGTGGGCGCTGTACAACGCTGCTACTCGTGGCTCTGGACCAGGTGTTGGTACCAATGCCTGATGAAACTGGCGGAATAAAGGTCATGTTGGAGTCGTTCCAAACTGCATGGCTGATGCGCCGCGGCACCCACAACGGCATGAAGTAAGGGAGCTAGATACAGAAGCACATCTTTGAAATGAGTAATACAGCTGCTACGTGCAACCTGTGCGTGCACAATTAAACTTTTGTAAATTACAGTTCTACCTTTTTGCGTGAGAATCTGCAGGCTCCCGACTTTTTGCTTTCAAAAGAACAGAATAGCTATCCCTTGCTTACGTTTGATGCAATAATACCCAGCAAAGTCCCAGCTGAATAATTGTTAGGCTCGAACTTTAGGCCACTTGATCTTCAACTTTTATAAATTTCGTATCGGTAAGTAGATATACAGAATACCAACAACTGACGACTGGTTGAAGCGAAAAGCTGCAATGTGCGATGTTCTTTGTCCATTGACCTCAGGTTGCCGATCTTCTATTATTCCCTCTGTTAGTGCTAGGTAGATCAACGAAGAAGGTTTTCGCAACGCAATACATGCAAGCCCAAGCTGTCGAAAAATGCGGTGGCAGGAAGAGATCGAGTATTGCAAAACCAGTTTAATATATTTCGATCCGTTGTAAAGCTGGAAGAGGCGACCTTACGCGTCTCGTCCAACCACACTTTTCCTACGTTCCCGACAGCAACAGAGCACCCGCAAAACACTCAAACCTCTCAGCTCCACTCGTTTGCACCAGAGCTCAGCGCCCTTGTCGATGCTTTACACTGCTCAGAGCTTAATCAAGGAAGAAGTAGTAAAGGCAGCTACGGCCAGTAGCGCAACAGACATAGAGCACGCATGGGTTTCGATTCCAGTAAAGAGCAGCTCGGAAATTGGTGAGTGGACGCCGACTAACAAGACTAGAAGGAGTCCCAATCAGGGTCTAGATGATAACAGGTGGGGCAATGTCAAAACATGGACGTTCGTGCGGTTTCTCGCCAGTTCCTTCGCCAAGATGTTACTGGAGAACGCCATGGGAAACGGCGGCGACTTGCCAGGCATGAAGAAACTGGCTATCAATGGTTGAGACTGCTCTTACAGTTTCCTAAAGGCGATGGCCGTACCGTCGGTGGTCTCGTCATCGAGCACGGTGACGCCAAAACTGGATACCGAGTCATCGAACGGAAACAATGACTGGGACTGCTTTCGTAACGGCTCATACAACGGCCTGAAGTCTAAAGTATCATGGCCGACAATCTCCGCGTCGTCGTCGTCGTCGAGCACGTTGCTATCGAATACGGAATGGACTCTATTGAGGAAGGTTTCGAGCACGAAAAGACTGTGGAGAAAGATTTAGGAGAAGAGGATTCAGTTTGTCGAGACCCCACGCGTTACGTGTTTGACATCATTAGCATCATTGGCTCGGGGTCTCACGGCACGGTGCGTCTGTGTCGTTTGCGTGCGTGTCCTAGTCGTCTCTTCGCGGCGAAGGTGGTCCAAGCTAGGCAGCATCAATGGTATAGATGGCGACGGGAACACCATGCGTGAGGCCAAACGCCTACTGACGGAGAAGAGGGTACTGTATTCGGTTAGTCACCCGTTCATCACTAGGATGTTCTGTTCGTTAGAAACCCCGAACGCACTGAATTTTGTGCTGGAGTATTGTCCTGGTGGCGACATGTACTTCCTGCTAGAGAATCCTGTGAAGAACCGCATTCCAAAGGATCATGTTTTGTTCTATGCGACATCCATTGTGCTGGCCTTGCGCTATCTTCACGAGCGTGGCATTCTGTATGGAGACCTCAAACCCGAGAATATTCTGCTGGACGAAGCATGTTTCGTGCGTCTTGCTGATTTCGGCTTTGCGCGCGAGCAGATGCACCGATCAGACCAGTGCTGCACCAGCTTCTGCGGGTTAGCAAATTACAACGCTCCCGAGGTGGTGCGTGGTACTGGTTACTGGTTACGGTCTAGCAGCTGATCTATGGAGATTCGGTTGCGTAGCGTATGAATTGCTGACAGGATACCTTCCATCTACTCTCGGCGTGATCGTGCCTTGCTCGTCCGTAAGATCAATGAGGAGGAGCCAAGCTTTCCACATCATTTCTCACCCGAACTCTGCGACCTTCTGTCTGGTTGGCTTCACAAGAATGTAAGCCAGCGTTTAGGTAGTGGCCCCATGGAATGCACGACATCTTGGACCACCCGTTCTTCACAAATATAAACTGGCACCGTCTTGAGACGAAACGGGTGACTCCGCCGATCGTCCCGAAGTTGGCTAGTAAACTGGACACGTCCAACTTTGAGTGCCAATTCACTTCGCAGCAAGTCGTGGGCCACCTTGTAGATGAAGAGCGATGGCCCGCGAGCATTGCGTCTGACGAGGAAGACAACCAGTTCTACTTTTCGAAGAATTTGACTTGTGTGCTGACGCGTCCCACCTCCTATAGACTAGCACAAGGATGAACGGCTCAATTGTTACATATATATATCCATTTGATCTGTTCGGGTACCTAAATATGCACAACGAAATCGTCGTCGGGGAGCTGAATTTGCTGCTCCACACTTTGCTTGATCCACTCCGTCGTAACAACTCGAGGTTCTGGTAGACCGTGGTGGCGCAAGTTCCGAATGGCCGGCAAAAGTCGGTTCTATTGGCTTTGATGAGAAGCCGTCTCGATAACGATGTGTGTAACACAGGAATCAATTTCGTGCGCAACTGTCCCTCCGTACAGCCTAAGTTGTTGTTCTAAAAACATTGTCTCTCCAGCCGTGACGGTGTTTGTGTTAGAAAAAGGCACGGTTGAAGTTAAAGTTGAGGAAACGGCTGACGACTTAGGAAGGCGTTCGAGGATCAGTTGAGCGATTGATTGGACAGGTGCGTGGATGGGTGATTGATTGGACAAGAGTGATGGAGAACAAGAACAACTAGTCCATCATGCTAGCACGAAAAAGATAACACTAATAACAATGTCAGAATCCTTTTATCACAGTGCCGCAGACTTCCTCTCTACAGCTTGCATCATGGCAAGCGAACAGTTTGCGGCAGCAAACGAACCGTATTGAGCTTATTGTAAGCCTGAACAATACGCCACTTACCCTTCCTTTTCTTGGCACCGAAAGTAGGTGTGTTGTGTAACGGGCTAAAAGTTACACGGTTCGTTAAGTATCGAATACTTAACGGTCAGGCCTAAATGGGTATGAGATACCATAGGCCTGCCACTTGGGTGGGGCACATCAATGTGACCCACCCTCGTGAATTTGATATCCATGTATGGATTCACATTCAACGAGGATGACGCCAGTTGGGACTGGGCGTCATGATGACGCTTCAGACAGACGTCATCAGCGAGCTTAAATATATTTTTAGCTCGCACGTAATGATACGCTTCTTAAGAGACGCGTATCCAATCTTTGCATAATTAACCAATCAGTAGTAAAACTTTTCAAATAGTTAAAATCTATTAAATATTAGTCAGTCTTGAATTTACTACATCACACTCACTGCGCACGGAAAGTCTGGAAACAGCTTCCGTGACGCAGGTAGGTGCTACTTAGTTGTTCGTTGTGCGAACCGCTCTAAGCGGCCGGCAACAGATTGGTTCGGCATTTTAAGCGGCCGACCAACACCACCACCAGGTAAGACGGTATAACCGCTTCCTCGCGCTGCTTGAAGGTGTTCCCGCGTAGTACGTGGCAGATTCTTTACGAAGCGCCCGTCTATATGTTAAGTGCGGAGATTGCTTTCACGCGCCATACCCGCCGAATGCTTTGCATGAAAGAACTCACAAATGACGTCCAACTGTACTTTTGGCAGAGGCCACTGCCGTGTTACGCAGTATTTTGTTTCAGAACCATGTCAATTTCATGACCTAGACCATTTTCAATAGGTATAACTGACGGTAATACCATCAGTTATACCTCCTGATAGAGGTCTCGTGCGCGAATTCGCACCGAGTTACTTCGATGATGTGTTCGTCCATAGTCGGGCTATGGACGGGAAAACAGACGTGGAAGTCCACCGACTCCACGTCCGTAAGGTTCTTACACTTATGCGCGAGCATAAGTTGTACGCCAACCTCAAGAAGTGTATATTCGCAGCTAGTGAAGTACCACTTCTTGGGTGCATCGTCAGAAAGAACGGTGTACGCCCTGATCCAGAAAAGATCAAGGCGATCACCAACTTGCCAGTGCCAGTCGATGTCAAAAGTCTAAAATAATTCTTTGGAGTAGCGGCGTACTTGCACAAGTACTCGCGCAATTACGCCGAAATGACAGTACATCTTTCTTGTTTACGCAAGAAAAATGTAAAGTGGGGTTAGAACGCTGACTGTCAGCGTTCCTTTGAACGTATAAAGCAAAGCTTGATGCAATCGCCAGTATTGGCGATTGCAGATCAAGACAGTGGTCTGTGACGCCAGTGATTTTGCAATCGACTGTGCGCTGATGCAATATGATACAGACGGCGCAGAGCGTGTCGTCTGTTATCAATCGCGTCAGCTGCAACCGGCTGAGCGCAATTACCTGGTGCATGACAAGGAAATCCTTGCCATGAAGTATGCACTGGCTAAGTTTCGCGTCTATTCCTTATAGTATAGACTGATCAATGTGTATACAGACCATGCGTCGTTACGCACGCTGTAAACAGTCCACACCTTTCGCAAAGAATGGCGAGATGGCTATCGTTTTTCGCGGAGTACAAATTCTCCGTGGAGTATACACCGGGACGACATGACGTCGTCACCAATGAGCTCTCACGTCGGCCCGACTTTGAGCCGACTGCACTTTCCGACATTAATGTGAATACCATTGTCGCTAAGCTGAGTGACAGCGTCGTGTCGACGGGTTTACTCGACGACATTAGAATGGCATTCGCACAAGATAGTGATCTTGCACGCCTGATGGAGTACCTTAAGGACATATCCAAGCAAGCTAAGAATCGCTTGCCTTCCATATATCGATCTTCTATAGATCGATACACCCAGCGGAACGGCGTACTGTACTACACAGCCGTCAACAACGACACGCCTCGTGTCGTTGTACCGCCACAGCCACAACATGATCTCAGGTTACGGTTCATGTTTGAATGTCACGATGCACCAATAAGTGGGCATCGCGGCCGCAAAAGACTTCCCTCACGGTCAGTCGCGACTTTTACTGTCCACGCCAGTATAATTTTGTGCGCAAGTACGTGCGTGCTTGCGAGGTGTGTCAACTAGTAAAGCCTAGTCCTTTACTACGTGCACCGTTACAGCCTCTACCAGATCCGGCAGAGTGCTAGGAGTCCGTATCAATGGACTTTGCGTTTATAATTCCCAAAGACGCTCACGGGAATAATGGTATTCTCGTGTTTGTAGACAGGTTAAGCAAGATGGTACATCTTGTTGCTGTACCTGAGTCGATCACAGCAGAGGGCTGTGCTCGAGTGTTTATCGATACAATCTATCGATTGCACGGTTTACCCCGTTAACTTGTGTCCGATAGGGACCCTCAATTCACGGCTGAGTTTAGGCGTTCCGTGTTCCAAACACTTGGAACACGGCTCACTATGTCTACTTCTGACCATCCAGAATCTGATGGTCAAACTGAACGCGCCAATCGCGTCCTCGAAGAGATTCTTCGAGGGTACGTCCACTCATTTACGAGTTGGAGTAGTTCTTTTCGATGGTCGAATTCGCCATCAACAACTCAGTGCATGCTTCCACGACGCATACACCGTTCTACGTGAATGGCCTTCGCCATCCACGTGTTCCCACCTTAGTAGAGGTGCCTCTAATTTAAGGGGGGACTCGCTCAAGCGAGGATGTGGTGGAGTGGGATTCACAAATTCGCCGATGCTATTCCGACTCTCCACTTGCGCCCGGACGACCGAATAACGGAGGGGGTACCACAATTCCGTGTATAAAGCCTTTCTTACCTTGTGTACCTGGGTGTCTCTATTCTAGGTGGACTTAAGTCGATGTTGATACTGATTGGGTTAGGAATAGGTTTGGTGATATTGTGGAAATCTTTACAAGATCGACCGAGTACTTGGTGTGATCTTCCCAATCGATCAAGATTATCCAATAAAGCGAATCTTGGATCTTCTGACCACTTAAGCAGAACCTTCTGACCACTTTATCCGTCCTACACTTGCTTTGCCTTGCCCTACTTGTTGTATCTGCGTCCGATATCGCAGTTGAGTTGAGATTTCTTGCAATCCCCTGGACAAACAATCCAGGTATATGACTTTCGTAGTGTGTAGGCTTCTCCGAAACGTCGGATGGCCAAAGAAATCCAGCCCGGAAGAGAGGTCGACACGTATATTAGAAGTAAAATTGAACTCTGCTTAATATTAACCAAACACATGCCAAAAACTACGATTCTGCTTATCTTTAGTCCAGGATCTATTACCACGTGTCGTCCGTTCAGAACATTAGATCTCGATATGTTGTCCACTTCAAATACCCTCACCATCCCCATCCAATCGCGATCTTGCCTTATTCTCGGATTGCGATCTGAATCAGATCGCGTGTCTGAACTGGATCGCGTTTCTGAGTCAGATTGCGTATCTGCACAATGAATCGCAATCGATCCACATTGTGTGGTCCACATGACGTGGATCGCGATCTACATTTTACGAAAATATGGTCTATTGCTTGTCCACTAGAACCAATCTGCCTTTTGCTTTTCCGCGCCGACGATATGGTCAACGCGAATTCGATCGAAGTCGTACCATTTGACTCAAATAGATCATCATTGATAAGAGCGATGACGCTCTTACTAATAATGATGCTGACTACGCCGGCTAGTTAGAGGTATCATAAGCAAAATCACTAATGTTTTCGCTAAGATAGTAACAAATATCTTTTAAGTGCATTCACAATGCACTGCAGCCAAAAGCAACGAGTCAGCAAGGGTTTTCTACTAACTCGAGAATTAGGGGTCCGTTCTGTAGACGGGCACTTCTACGAATTTGCCCGTGCTACTCAGCACACACCTTCAGCACAAGCGAGGAAGCGGTTATACCGTCTTACCTTCGCGTGCGAGGGTGGTTATGTGGTTGGTCGACTGCTTAGGCAGTCATACCACCAGTTGTCTCTCGCTCAAGCGAGAGTGCAACGACCATCTAAACGAAAATTCACCGACGTCACGCAGAAGCTTTTTCAGCTTCTCGTGAGCGGTGCTTTCGATTTAACAAATTCAAGACCGAGCTATATTTAATGAATTATAATTAAATATAAACTTAACCACTGATTGGCTTTATATATAGATCGGATACGCGACTCTTTAGAAGCGTATCCTGACGCATAAATTTAAATCTAGATTTAAGCTTGCTAATGACGTCCTCATAAGACTTTGCGATGCCTAGCTTCAACTAGCTTCATCCCTTTCCATGTGAATCCATCAATGGATATCACATTCACGAGGGTGGATCACAATTGTGTATCGCACCCAAGTGACAGGTCAAAAGTAATCATGGATACTTTGAGACCTTACATTAAGTATATTACCTAATGTTTACGTGTAACTTGATGCCCTGTTACACCAACCCCCTTTTAGAACAATTTTTACATTTTGTAAAACATCGCTTAGGAGACAGGTCATCTCACATAATGTGGATGAAGATCCATCTCTCATTGTAGACTACAATGAGAGCACGCCATTGACATCACCCCAAAGTGGAGATGAGCAAAGCGCATTGATGGGACATATGTCCCCATCATTTGAGGCACCCGTCCTTAAGGGAGCGTCTATGCTTCCTGCAAGTGAAGGAAAGGCCTCGTCGCCTGCGCCTACGAGCGCAGCACCTAAGACTGAGCACGCTACTTCGAAAGGAGTAGTCGCGACTCAGTCAGATGTGACTTCTCAAGCTGATGTCTTGACAATCCATAATGGAGAGTCAGAATCAGATGAGTGTGAGCGTAATGCTCCACCGAGTACACGTTCAGCCTCACTAGCCCGTCGTCGGGAGGGCGGCTACATGAGTGGTGGCTTGCCATCAATGCCACCGCCATCCGAGTGGAGAAACTCGAAGGGGTCAAGTGCAGCGCTTTTGCAGCGTGCAACTATTGACGCTCATAAGTTTTATAGCGTCTTTCCTTTGTGGAAAAATCAGGGCAAAGCGCTTGATCGTGCTTTCCCAATTCCAGTCGTGCTGCGTTCTAACGAAACAGCCGAAGAATATGAAGCTGAACTTCGGCGCCGTGTAACGTTTCATGTAGATGCAACGAAACAACGGTCGCAGCGAATCAGCTTCGCCATGAAGCGTTCGGATGAAATCTTGGGTGGTTAGCGACCCCAATTGATTCTCGCTACGCTTCTTCTGCTAGTCCATCCGGACCTAGCAAAAAGACGCCAGCTGGTGCTGCTTCACATAAGCAGCCACCAGCCCAGGCACGTCGACGCGCAAAGCGTCAACAGGCTCTCATGAGTCAAAGCTCGTTGGGTAATCCTTTCACTGAAGCAGGATTTGGAGCTTTCGCTTCACAAACCGGTGGACCAACAGCCTTCCAACAAGGAAGCGCGTATTCCCTTCCGTGCCCACCAACACAGGTGGCGCCCGATAGGAGCGGCGATTACGCCCACCTACTCGCGGCTGCCTACCCTGCTGCTTTTCAGTCGCAGGCTGAGACCGCTGAAATGAAGAAAGAGGTGGCTGATCTGTCGAGTCAAGTCTTGCGCCTGACTTTGGATCTGCGCGATGTGAGGGAAAAGTATCGTCAGGGGTATGACCGCCTGAAGACCCGTTTGGACATACATGAGCGACTGGTGATGAGAGACGTGTCAAGCGCGGAGTCCTCCTAGATCGCCGAGTCCTCTGTCGTCTGTATCGTATACGGGAAGTTGTTCACCTTTTCCGTCGCCTGATCGGCAACGACGCTCGACTCATTGTCGGCGTCACCGTCGGTCTCGTTAGACTGATGCGGATATGTGATATCTTGTGGATCAACATACCGCTTCAGACGACCAACACTTTCTTCTCGTTGGCCAATCCCACAGCTAGATCCACCACTGCAACAACTTGCAAGGGTCGAGCAAAGCCGCTTTGCTCTGCTTTTCAAGGTTTTCTGGACACGTTCTCCCGGTATGATATATCTTAAAGTTTCTAGGCATCTTTCGTGTTGAACCATCGTATAGTGAGTAAGGACAATGTCCTATTGTATTTACCCGCAGCCAGTGTTGCAGTACATTCTGATAAGCCCGCTTACACTTCCGAATAGCTGATGTCATCACATCGGGTGTTGCTGGACCGATGCGGGCATTCAGCGCATTCAAACCGGGTGAGCTGCCTACGGCTTTTTTACGTGTCGACGCTACGATGGTCATGCTCGTAGTTGAGCATGCGACCTACGCGACAAAAAATCGGCGCAATAAATACTGGGCAAATAAACCTTGTGATACCCAAGCAATTGCTACAAATGGCTGCATAAAGATAAGCTATGTATCGATACGAAGGACAGTTTCCATTTAAACGAGGTTTACTTGAACTATCATGCAACTTGGTTTTTAGACTTTTCAAAGGCTTGGTTAAGCGCAGTAAAGAGCTCTTTGGCCACCAGTTGCTCAGGAATTGTGGCACCACGCAATTTGTCAGGATGGACGACCCTTAGGATGTTTCTGCAAGAGCAAACAATAACAAGGTGTGAGAGACGACAGCGACCCTCATGAACAGACGAAGACGAGACTTGGAGGACGCACCGATAGGCCTTTCGCACAGTATCGTCATCGGGGGATTGCGCCACCATCAATTGACACTTCTTGAGCGCATCGTTCGACGATATTTGGTCCAAAGTAAGGATCATGTGCAGAAATTTCTTGCCAAACGCCCACATCTCTACTCGCCGATGAATATCTCCCCGAACAGCATCTGCCTCATCAGCCTCGACCTTTTTCTTCATTTGCAATTCGTGGCGCTCCCGCAACCGTGCTTGCTGGCGAAGATACAGCTCGGTGTCAGCCATTGTAGGCTCGGGAGGTAGCGGTGGCGAGTCAATAGATGGCAGTGGTCGCTCTTCCTCTACTTCACTTTCTGATGTCTTGCTCTCACTTTTTCGCCGAGAGCGACGACCATCAACATCAACGCCATCGTCATGGTGTGGCCGTGGTAGGTCACTTGGATGAAGTGGTGGGGGCACTGGGGTCTCCTTGTGGTCCATTTGCTGCAGCTTGTTATTTATCTGTTGCCGCATCTGCGAAACCCGAACCGTTTTCGTGCTTGTCGGTCGTCGCCTTCCGTTGCGTCGTGCTTGCTGTTGTTTACGCTTTCGCTCGCGTTCCTCCTGTGCCATCTTCTCCCATTCTTTTTCGTACTCTTCCTTCTTTATCGTATCTTCTTGTTCCTTTTGCTGTGTGCGCTTAATCTTTTCGTTGCGCTTCTTAGCACGGACCTCCATGTACTCGTTCATGCGACTTTTACTCGTCTTGTGTAAATTGTCACCTCCACTCAAGCTACGATTCTTCTCTCGACACTTTGACAAAGTTGGTGAGCCTGATGCACGCTTCCCGTGGTAATCCTGGCCAGTGAGACTCTCTTTCCGAGCCGTTTGGTGAACTTTTGTTTTAGATGTATGAACCACTTGGTCAATATCATCACCCGAGCTAGAGGACATAGATGATGATTCTGACAAGCTTTCGGCTTTCTTGATGTCGACATGAAGAGGTTGACTTTTCTCAACGTCAGGCTCGTCGGGGTCGTCGTCTGACGCGGACGAGGAAGACGTCGATGGCAATGCTATTCCAGGCGGCGTCTGCAATGCGCGTAGACTTTCTGTTTGCTCCCGCGGTTCCAACAAATCCGCAATTTTGGGCAATTGAATCATTTTTTCAGCTGCCTTGTGCTCTTCATGTACTTCGAAATCGTCGTCACTTGAGCTGCTAAAGTCGGCGTCGGCACTTATATCCGAGGATCTTACTTGCGACGAAATGTCCATATGAGCTGTAGGGATAAACAGGGGAAGAGCTCTATGCACGTACATTGGTGGAGGAGGCGGTGGGGAGTCGTCGTCTGATAAATCACTCGAAGATGACTCACTACCGAAAATACTATCACTTGACTCGTCCTCATGATCAGACGCAGGCTTTGCCACGTACATACGAGGGCGCTCCTTTAACACTTTGCTATGGGTAAATCCTTGGCGAGAAGGGATTGGCAACGCACATTCAATTTCACTTGACGTTGCTCCATCCATACCATTATCTTCAGCTTTGTATATATTGAGGCCATTCCCTGGAGAAGAGCATCGCTTGAATCTAGACGAAAGTTTCTCAAAGAAAGTCACTGACGTAACAGTTAGCTTACCGTTGCCCGCTTTGTCTTCGCCCAGCTTATCTGGTGGCTCTACAACTGTTTTAATCGTTTGCGCAGAAGCTGCCCGGCGTTTTCCCTCTCTTAAGGATGGTTTAAGAGCATCATCAGTAAAACTTGAGGCAGAAAGCCCTCGTGAACGACTCTGACTTGAGCGTGATGCCTCACAGGTGGGTGAAACGTCAACAACCGAGTCGACTCCCACTTCCGTTTCCACAGGGCTAGACATATACGACCTTTTGCCTGCCGTAAAGTCAAAGCTCGCAAGCTCTGCCTCAGCAACCACAGTCGTAACTCTGTCCTTCAAGTTACCGGAATCGTCTTTCGGCTCCGACGACGATGTATCTGGGAAAAATCCGGCAGACGTCGCAGTAGTGGTGCCCAAAGTTTCTTGAAGAGCAGTTAACTGCTTGAAAAGACACTTGTTCTTCTGATGCTCTTTCTCCAGCTGACATTTAAGTTCACGACTTATCGCCTCTGAATCCTCGCATCGCTTCACTAGGCTCTGATACTCCTCACTTACCATCACCTGAACGGCACTTGGCTTTCGGTCGCCTGTAGTCGTAAGCTGTTGCTTCACTTCACGCAGTTTCTTTGCAAGTACCGCATTTTCAGCTTGCTGTTCACATAAACTTGCCTCCGCTGCATGTATGAGTTTCTCATGCTTAGTGTTTCGCGTCTCCATCTCATTTCGCAGCTCTTTCTCCTTCAGCTCCCACTCTTTCGTGACATTTTCCTTCACCGTGGCAGCCTCAGCACGTAAGTGATCACACTGCGCAGTCACATTTGTTAATCGCGCTTGTAGCTGAGCCATCTGAAATTCATACTGATCCGCATGTCGTGCCATCCTCTCGCTTGCCTTCATTAGCTGCTTGTTGCGTTTTTCAATAATACGCTGACACTCTTTCGTGCGAATAGAAAACTCTTCCTTGTCCTTATTGGCCTGACTGAGCCGTCTCTCCAGCTCTTCTGCACGCTGATCTGCCGTCTCTAGTTGCGCTTGCATCGCCTTCATTTCCGACTGTTTCTTGCTCTGACGAAGCTTCACTCGTTTGTGAAGCGTCTCCAGTGTGTCCCCTACGTCATCATCTTTCTCAAAAAGACCCTTTCTTTCCACCAAATGTCCTGCATTATCCTCCATAGTAGCAGAAGAGCATAGCGCCGTCGAAGCGGTCGAGAACATGGTGCGACGTCTGACATCTGCCACTGGGAGCGAATTTGAGTGCGTACTACTCGAATGGCTGCGATCTGTAGCCCCCGATAGAAATGGCACTGAACTTACGCTCTGATTCGTATCATTTTCTTCATCTGAGACGTCGGAATCTCCTGAAGAAGACGACGAAGAGGAGAAAAGACCGCCGTTGCGACCGCGACTGCTGCCACCTGAAAGCGCTCGTGCATTCGGCAATAATGAGATGTCTACAAAAAGGAATGAGTACTGGATAGTTAACAAAAAGAAGAGAGCTAGCAACACGTATCGACTCATACCTTTTGCCCCTACGCCGACTGTAGTGCGCCGCATGACGTCAGCACGGGATTCTCAGAAATTGTGCTACAAATATTGTGTGTGGATTACACAACAGTGCGTGACGGACAAAATAAACGGTTCACTGACGTAACCATGGGGTACAGCGGTGTTAATGACGTCTTTAGATGACGTTCAAGACGCTGCGTTGATGCGTGACCAAAGTGCTGGACGCAATGGGGAAAAAACGAAATTAAATGCAGTAGCAGACACCGCTGCAATAGTCGGACGTGAGGATGAATCGGATTTACGGCGCTGCTAGAAACTCGTCGCGTATATTAATGGGTTACATCCCCGGGCTTTTAAAGCAGATGGACGGGGCATCGTTGCGTGAGATCGCGGCGCCTTTAAGGGCATGCTTGACACTGTGGAGACGCAAGAAATAAGAAGCTGCCGAAGGAGTGCTGCCGCGCGTTGGTAAGGACAAGTGTATTCCTTGTTGTGACGCCACCGAGGCGGAGGCCAAGTGATTTGGTAATGTCCAAAAGCGGAAGACAGAAGATAGGGGAAGACGAGGTGCGCCATATTGTACAATACCTCGTAAAAATCCGAGGGCATTGGTGCATGCACTGAGGCCACATGATCGAGATCGACTATGACATGGAGCGCAAGACATTGGCTATTAGCCAGCGGACGTATGCCAGAGCGAGCTTTTTGATTACTTGTTGAATGATCTTGCTCGACTTCCTCGAGCTTAAATATGGGCTCCTGAGCGCCTTTACGATCAAGGGGCTTCAGGTTCGTGTACATGCGCGTCTTGAAGTAACACTCTATACTCCATCATATTCCATTGCAAGTGTTTCGCGAGAAGTCGCCTTTCACGAACGCGTCGAGGTTTCCTTCATGGCAGAAATTCTTAAACATATCGTTCTGGTGTCGTAGAAGATACTCCAAACAAGATTTACTGACAGATAGCATCGAGCACTAGGGAGCCAATTGTAAGTTGAACGGTAAAGAGGTCGACGATTGTGGTTGTATTTATAATTTATTTGAGCTTGCTCATTGTAAAATTTGGGACGTTACCTGCAATTTGCCTAGCGACAATCGAGCATCTAATTGCGCAGTAGACTTTTTGTAAGGTGCGTAGGCGTAAATCAACCGCATAGGGCTCATTTTACTGGAGACATTAAATGTTTTGCCTCCTAATATAAGGTAATCGTAATGCACCTATCGGTAACATGTCCCATAATAATTCACTCCACTTCACAAAAGAAAACATCAATAACTCAATTAGAAAGAAAGTGACTGTTTGTTTTCGGACAAAGGCATACATTTGTATATTTTTTGTATTGCGTCTTAAAACTCACATTGCAATATAACAACAACAAATTGGCGGGAGAACATTTCAATGCGAACTACATCACGTATCGTTGATGGCGAAGGGTGCTGCAGCGTTGACAGATCATCGACTTCTTCAGTAGTGGATCGACTGCATACAAGCATAGCGGAAACCGCTTGTTTACTGGTGGAATTTGTACAGGAACAAGAGCAGGTTGTGGTTCCAGATATAAAAACTTACGAAATATGCTGCAAACAATTGGTCGCTTTCATGGCCACTCATATGAAAACGTCTCACGATTTTGTGCAACAAATGGAGCAAGTAATTCAAGCGAGTTATACTAATGCAATGGAATTCACGTTGAATTCGACAGGGGCGGAAGATCTGTGGCTTCACTACAATAGAGATGCAAAGTCTGAATCGGACGCTCAAACTTCAACTGTGCCCGGAACTCCATCTACTCTACAGCCAACGACTAAGGTGGGCACATCTATGAACCATATTGGGGTTACTGTGACCCCACATGCAGTCACAAGTGCCAGCGGCATTAAATTGAGACCGACGAGCTCTCCACACGTGGATTTGACTGAAACTAACTTATTTACGGCTAGAAAAGAGGGCAAACGGCAGTCTAAGCAAGGCAAGTTGGTGCCACGACAAGACTTAAAACGAGCTCGTCACACGGTGGCACGAAACTTGTACGGTGCAGGAAGCTTAGACTGCATGGATGAAGAAGATATGGAGCTGGAAAGTTCAAAGAATTCCGAGACTGAAACGGAGCCTGAGGTGCTTGGGGTCTCCTGTGCCGACCGATCATCCGACCAGCGTGTGGAACAATCGCATGTGCCTAATGATCGAATTGTGTGGCCTTGTGCTGGCGCTAACCCGTTGGACCGGAACCCGGCGTTCATGAAGCGATTGAGGTTGGCTCTAGTGCTGGTTGACGCGGAAAATTGCTATCCGCCGCCGGATATGAAGTGTATGCAGGGGTGCACAAGTCTTCGTATTCAAATGTGCCAGAGTCATCGAACCCAGGGCGGCAACGCTAGCGTGTGTCACGATACGATGTGCTGTATATGGCGTGATATTGACACCCATTTGGTGCGCTGCCGAAATAGTGACTGTGAGTTTAAAAATAGTGTTGGCTTGCGCCAAGCAATGCACGACATTCTACAGAATGAACTTAAACTTAAAGCGACAAGAGACAAACTCCGGGCCGTTAACGCGACGATCAGCAAAACTGTCGCTACCCGAGATTATGGGCCAAGAACTTCACCTTCTCATATTGAAAGTAAAATAAAGAGGTTGGAGCAAAAATGTGCCAAGCTAGAAGACGCTGTCCTTCTTCATAAGGACCGACAACGCGCTTTCGAGTTTGACTTGAATGCCCTTGGAATTCCACCAGAACAATGTGAATTGGAAAATGTGCCAAGTTTCCAGAGCCATTACGCGAGGAAGAGACCACGAGAATAAGTGTATTGGTGAAAAACGTGCCCCTGAATCGGGTGTAGGGGTAACACTTTGATGTAGTTGTAAAGTCATGTTTATTGTTTAAATCGATGAGGTTTGCTAGGGCAACGATCCATCGATTGACCACTTCGGCTGTAAAATGTGGAGCCACAACCACGTTACAAAGTCCATCAGGTCTTGTGTCAATCACATATCAACAGAGCAATCAATCCTAAAGTAGATTTGAGCGAGTTCGCTTCGCTGGGTCTTCATCTACAATATCTATCACACCGGCCTCAACAGCTCTTCCTTTGAGTTGCAATATACATGGGTGAGCTTCTCGAGCTGACCCAGTGGCAGTGCGCGGCTGAAGCGGGAGTGGACAGTGAAGCCCTGGACACCAAATGATGGAGCCGGAGAACTGCTCGATGCCGGTAAAGAAAATACCGCTACAGCCAACTGGTGCAAGTGCGGGAACTGCCCCCGTCGCTCTATCCAAAAGTCATGCGGTGATACGGCGCCAGACTGCAGCAGCTCCCAGAACGCTGAGTTGTTTTGTTTTAATTCATCTACCATCGCCTTGTACTGTTCCAGCTGCGTCGAAATGTCCACAATATGTCCCTCGTGCTCGCAAAACCTCGAAATAAAGCTTTCCACCTCCTGCTTTTTCCTCTCATCTAAGGATTCACCCAAGTACAGCGGATCCAGCATGTACGCCACACCGTGAGAGTCGCCGTAAATAGCGTTGAACCGTTCGGTCACGCAAGAAGTGATAAGCGCCTTCTCCTTCTTGCTAACCCACTCCATCGACGAGTACACCGTCAAGAACTCGATGAAGCACGGAAAAACTTGCGACAACGAAGGTCGGTTTTTCTGAAAACGGTTTAGTTGCTGCTGCAGCGGGCGCAAAACAGCCAGCGAATTTATCAAGTCCTGAGCAAACGTTTCGCCAAGTACGAAATCTTGCACGCGTTTGAGTTGCTCCTGCTCTGTCAGGGTGTTAGCATCCACAAAGTCTCGGCGCGCAACGATCATGTACAGCGTCTTCTCATGTTTCAGTAAAGCTTCCAATAAAGCACAGATCGAACTATTGTCTGGAAACTTCATGGTCTGGTTATGTTCGGCAGCGGTCGCTAGCGTCTGGAGCTTGTAATTTCCGTGGAACACCTGTGCCAGTTCGACCACAGACGTCTGAATTTTCTCTAGCCAAGGTAGTACGGTGCAGACGTCGCTGAGTAGCAAAGTGAGCGCGCTGATCACGCAGCCGTGAAAGAAGGTACACCGCGGGTGTTTCTTTTGAATCCTTTTGCGAGTGTACTTGGACAGAGTGGACGTGGTGGGTGTTACGATGCCATAAAACTCCGCCTTCTTCTCCTTGGCCATCACCTCTTCCACTTCATCAGCCGTTAACTCTCCTCTACTTTCCTGAATCATGGTAGTCGTTGCCTCGAGGTAGTACAAGGCACCTTCACACATCACTCCATATGTGAATGCAGTAAATCCTCCCGCTTCCACCAAGTTCTCTATTGTAAGACAGCATTTCTTGCCACTCAGTGCCTTGGTCACTTTATTCTTTGACGCTGTAAATTCCAAATCCAGCAGCTCGTTTTCCAGCTCATGTTTCGTGGGGAGAGCCACGCCACCTCGTAACACTTTCAGAGCGCTAGCTAGCAACTCGTTTTCTGCGTTGTCGAATGGTTGCCCCGTTGCATACAACCAGTAAGCGAATTTGCGCTTAAACGCGTTGCTTTTGTTCCCGTAGCTACTGCCAATGGCCATTGCTTTGTGCTGCTTTAACAGTATATCAGGTCCCACATCTGTCTGCACTTCAAAAGCGTCCCCCTCTTCATCTCTCAATATCTCCGCTTGCTCCTGTACGTCCGGACACTTGCGTTCAAAGTGGTTGCGCACTCTTTCGACCTTGGCCACTCCATAGCGATGAATGAGTGCGCCACATCGATTACAAACCACTCGCTTGTCCGCATATACGGTGGTGAAATTCCATACCGGATCCCGTTTACGACCGGAAACTCGGTGCTTCTTGGTCGATGGCTCGGATTCGGACACACCAACTAGCACTAAAGATTCATCTGTAAAGCTAGTTTTGGGTGGCTGAGGAATGCTCGCCATTGGGTTTTCGTCAGACTGCAAGAAAAATCTGCTGTGCTTTTAAGAATAAATAATAACACCCTTTTTCCAAAATGGGTTTAGAGAGATCTCGATAGGTGGAACAATCGCATTATACAACATTCTTATAGACGGAAAGGTGTATGCCGACGGAATCCTTATGCCACGAAAGAGATCAGTTACTCATACATCATGTACAAATACTGTACACATTATTCACGTGAACTTATCCGTAGATGACGGCTTACTGATGAGCTCAAAAATCTCTATCATAGTTACGCGCGCAATAGGCTACTCATACCAATTGCTAATACCACTTCGTAGTACACGAGTGTTCACGTGAAGTATGGCAGCCCTATCTGGCGCACTGTACATCTTAATGAAGCAACGTGCGTTGAAAGTCTATTGGTATCCATCCTGAGTGCACCTCATCGGAAGAGGCGCCTTCAGGGGACACAACCTAATCCAACTTAAAAAGGTAGTTATCATCAGACTAACAACACTCAAATATTTATTATTGCCCAATTTGAGCTTTTGAGCAACAACGACCAAGAGGCAAAGACCTCCAAAGAGCCGGGTGACCGGTCCCCTTTCCGGGATGTTTGGTTCCCCAATAGTGGGGCCCAGGTAATAGGGAAGTGGCCTTTCTTTCCGCTGCGTTTGCTACGGAAGGCAGCGCAGCGGATCGTGTAACGGGCTAAAAGTTAAACGGTTCGTTAAGTATCGAATACTTAACGGGAAGGCCAAAATGAGTACGAGATATCATAGGCCTGCCACTTGGGTGGGGCACCCACCCTCGTGGATGTGATATCCATGGATGGATTCACATCCAACGAGGATGACGCCAGTTGGGACTGGGCGTCATGGTGACGCTTCAGACAGACGTCATCAGCGAGCTTAAATATATTTTTAGCTCGCACGTAAGGATACGCTTCTAAAGAGACGCGTATCCAATCTTTGCATAATTAGCCAATCAGTAGTTAAACTTACAAGTAGTTAAAATCTATTAAATACAAGTTAGTCTTGAATTTACTACATCACACTCACTGCGCACGGGAAGCTTAATAAGCTTCTGCGTGACGTAAGTGAGGTACTCCTTAGTTGTTCGTTGCGCGGACCGCTCTAAGCGGCCGGCAACAGATTGGTTCGGCGCTCTAACCGACTGACCAACGCAACTACCACCGCACGCGGAGGTAAGATGGTACAACCGCTTCCTCGCGCTGCTCGACGAAGCGCCAGTCTACAGATCGCAAGGGATCAAACAACCCAAAACCCCCGGGGTGAGACGCACGACATCCGAGAACGCCACCCCTCACCTAGTTCCTGCTATTCTACGTATGCCTTCTCATCGCCGACCCGTTCACCGAGCGCGAATCCCATACCCACGAAGCGAACTTGCCAAGAACGTGAGGCAATCGGCCCACTCAAATGCACTAGCGATTATTCGAGTATGATCATAGTGATAACCGGCGCTTACAGCGACATCGGCGCTCTGCATGCACTTTGGGATGGATCACCGATTACACGTGCCCTTTGAGGTGACGCGTCTTTGGCTGGAAGAGGGTCTATCGGCTAAGGGAGCTTGCTGGAGAGGCTTCTGGAGATGTAGGCAAAAATGAGATCGAATGAACTTAATAATTATAAGTCCTATAATTTTTGACCTAATGTACTGTCATAACCTGTCAACTGTGGCATGTCAGATACTCTCAACGTTTCATGTCATAAACTGTCTGTCATAACAACTGGCATTTCATACGCCCCCATGAAGCACTTGGCTTAGCACGGAAGGATGCGTCGAATACCAACTCCATCCGTCGATGCACCCTTGTCAATTGTGACTGTTCTATTGTTGTGAATAATACGGATCGAATATGGTCCCTGCGAAACTGCATGTATTTTGGCGCAAACGTTTTTGGCAATACGCAGCATGATTTATCGCCGGGGTTGTAGAAGTGTTCCAAGCGTTTGCGATTTTCGCGAGTATTGTCTGCTAAGATCGCTTCGAACCGTCGCTTGTATAGATAGCTCCAAGTAGCTTCGTTTGTTCCCTGATCAATTATGGTTCTTTCGTAGTATTCGTCGTCGTAAAACCAATTAGATCAATATAAACCACATCAAATGGATCAACGGTCGTCATAGTCCTTGGTAGTAGACCATAGTCTTGTTTACCACCATGCACTTTAGCATGCTTGCAAGCCAAGCATGTCTTAATTATGTCGACAATGGTTGCTTTCATTCTAGGCCCATAAAAACTCGAAGCATATTCTAGTACAGGCGATTACTAGTTGGATGTCCTAGGCTCTCATGATACCAATGTACTAAGTCATCTCGGAGGGTGGATGGAATAATTACTCGTTTTAGTATGTCACCAAGTTACATCCGAAAATAAGAACCATCTGATAATTCGGGTTTGTTTTGCCTGAAAGACATGCAGACTTAATTTGTTAAATCATCGGTTCTTTGCCCTAATGTTGCCTAATCACAGGACCATGCATTACACACGGAGGGTCATATGTAACGGCACATACCTTCTCAACCGATAATACCTTGCTCTGAGTGATTTCAAATGCATCCTCGAGAATTCATCTGCTCCAATGTTCTTGTCTCTCTCTATGTAGTGCATCGTCAGTAGATACTCGGAGAGAAGCAATTTTCAGCGTTGACCCGCATGTTCGTGTCCGTGGGGTAAATAAGGTGCTTATGATCCGTATGAACCACCACTGAAAATCATATAAACATAGCTCGATATTCAAGGAGTCTATCGACAATCGAAAGCAACTCTAGTTCCATCTTTGTATAGTTAATCTGATGCTTATTGAGTACACGAAAGTAACATGTGATGATCTTGTGAGCTTGCATGATGATGCCACCAAGTTGTTTTCCACTGGCATCGGCATACAAATGAAATGGTTTCGTAAAGTCAGGAACAGCTAGGAGAAGTGCCTCCGCAAATGCCCTTTGTATATCCCGGAATGCCTTCGTATCACTTAAAAGCCATATGAAAGGAACCTTTGCAGTTGTCAAACGATGCAATGGCTGGCACAATGCGGTTTTGTTTGGCACCATATCACGGTAACAGTTTATCGTGCCCAAAAATCGTCGAAGATCTTTTCTCTTTCGCGGTATCGCAAGCTGCTTGTTTGCTTTAATATTTTTTGCTTGCGGCTGCATTCCGTCCGCAGTCAGTGTTTAGTTCACTTGATATACTTCCCGGTCTAAAAGATGACATTTTTTCCATTTAATGTGACTCCATAGGTGGTCGAGTCGCACGAACACCAACCGAAGATGTTTTAAGTGTTCTATTTCATTACAGGAAAAAAATAGCATATCATCCACATATGCAACGACGAATCCCACATCGCCGAAAATCTTTTCTATGCAGGCTTTATATTCGTCAGGTGGGATTGGATAAGGCTTGGCGTGTACTGGTTTAAAATCAAGTGACAGTGGTAACACGTAATCAGCAAAACGCTTGCGTACCAGATTACCGTCATATAAATGGCTATTCTTCTAGAGCAAATTCAAATAATGCCTTGAGACATCGGAATCTAAAAGTTCTGGAAGCAAGTCCTTTGGATCAGTAGCTGAATCCTTTATCTCTTTATACTCCTCCACACACTCTGTGTCGACTTGTTAGCGCGGTGCGTTTATGATCTTCCCAGTGTTAATTAAGTATACACTGATCTTCCCATTGTACTGTCCAGTCTCGAAAACTTATCGTAATTCCCAGCGCTTGCAGCAAATTCCGTCAACTAACCATAGTATCTTTGCTGGCCTCAACCACTCGAAAGCGTTGCGTGATGACCGATTTAGGCTTTAGTTGCGTAAAACAAAACTGGGTTAATATAGTCCCACTGCTATTCACCTCTTGACCTATTGTTTAAAGCACCGTAGCCGTTTGTGGAACCACCTTATATCCATTTTTCAGCCTAGCGTCCACAAAAGTCTTATTGGCAATACTTCTTGAGGCGCCCATGTCCAGCAGCGCGCTAAATTGGTTCTTGTCATGTTGTAGCTGGGCTGTGATGTGAGGCGGTGCTGTTGTTATCTTCGGTGTATCTAATAAGCTTGCACTCGTCGTCACAGCTTTAGTCTTCTTCCTTTATACCATTGGGTATTAATTTTCTTTAACGTTTTCCTCCATTGGAGTGTGCTTTTCCTTTTGCTTCTTGGGTGCAAAGCAATCTCTAGTATTATGCGATCGTGTTTTGTGATGGTAGCACCACTTATTTTCTTCGGACTTCTCCGGGTGTATGTCCCTTAAGACTTGTTGCTGGTCTCGTAAGTGCTCATGTTCTCACTCTTTCTTGCGTCACACGCGTGATCCTTGTTGCGACCGCCTTGGTATACATGGCCTTCTTGTGAAGATGGTCCCTTGTGTAATCTTTCTTGTTTCTCAAGTCGTGAAGAGTAAAGCATCATCTAGTTGAGCGTGTCAAGGATGACACCCGCCGCTGCCAGCTTATCTTGCCATCTATCTGCATCCCGTGCTTAAAGTAAAGACGCATTTGCACATCTGTTATCACCTTTGCGCTCTGCGGAAGCTCAGCGAATAAACGAATATTTTCACGAAAACGCTGGGAAAATTTCATTATGCTTTCCGTCGCTTTGTCATGTTCCATAACTTCAATGTCCAGATCTTCGCTGAAATACTTTGGTACTGAGAGAAGTCCCACAGCGGTAAAAGAAACGGTCAAAGGTCCAACTATTGGCATTTGCTTTGACCACCAGGAGGTTTACGTCGTATGCGAGGTCCCCCTCAATGAAAGCTATAAGAATACGGCTCTTCTGCTCGTCCATCTTTTTTTGGCAAGGCTTTGAAAGTCACAGCTCCACTTGAGATAGCCCCGCAGACTTCCCCCTCTAAATTTGTTCATCTTAACTTGCATGGCATCCACCAAAATTCCGTCTTGGGCTGGCAAGATCACCACCGCATAAGTGACGAAGTCGTTTTCGTCGTATCTGCCCATGATAATACCTTTATTTTTATGGGGTTGATTCTC